CGATGGCTGTCAAATGACCGCTTTTGAAATAAACATTATAGTCTTTTCCCGTTGATTGTAATTAATACATAATTTAGCATAGTCATGCAGTAAGTTCAAGAAAAATAAAAACCTGGAATTTAACAATTTTGATTAAAGTCTCAAAAGCGGTCATTTGACCGCTCTGGTAGGTTTAGTGTTAATGACGCTCAGTGTACATGATTTTAAGAGTATACCACCATTTTTTTTTCCAAATGGTGACTTCGCATCTTATCCAACAAAATCTTTTGTTCATAAGAGTGTTCTGCGGCTGGACGAATTACCTAATTTTCCGTTTGCACATTCTCTGTACGCACAGAAATCATACTGCCTTTCCTTTTTCTTATTTTCGTGTTCCATACTTGAAACGCTTATATTCTTTCACTCTATATTTGAAAACGCAGAGCGAATTGACACTCTCAAACTAGAAGAAAGAACTGAAAAAGGCTAGCAGAAACCGCGGGAATGTTTTCAGTTTGCTTGCAACATTGTATGCCTTCATGGGTTCGCAGCATATTCTTCAAAAGGTTCCGTTCACTATTACTTTTCTACGATTGCTATAGTTCATTCCCGACTTTCATGTGTTTTATTTCACAAATGGAAAACAATGAAGTCTCTAGCAAGGCGCACATGTCATTGCATAAAGTATTTGTTATAAAACTGCATATGCAATGTTTTGAACTACACATATTTTATTTCGCGTGTGGTTTGTTTAGGACTGCATTATTTTTTAACTTCGCCCTCCCATGCAAGCCAAGCAACACCGGGTCAAAAATAATAAACAAAAAAGAAATGAAGAAAAAAAAGCACCTTACGATTACGAAGCTGAATCGTTGCCAACGTGCCTAACGCATGTTCTTCGTACATGATAATCCATAGTTGCTGGAACTGAGCAGCCTCACTTGTTGTGATACGGGCTGTCATGAAGACGTAAGAGAAAAATTGACAGCAATGGAAAAAAATCTCGTTTCATTCGCTTGACGCTTAACGCTTTCGCATTTCTAACATAGATACATTTCTCCATTTCATTTTTTGTTTAATTTTATGTCCCAAAAAATTGCACTTATTAATATCGGGTAAAAAAAATGAAAAGAACTAGTGGAACTAGTTCGAGAGTCTCGTTCAGGTGGCGCGTCGACGCGCCAAAACACAGCTCCAGATTATCATGCGTAGTATTACTATTGTGACGCACTGGACCTCGTAAACAGAAAAGGGAACACGTGGTAAAATAGAAAAGAAAATAATTAACAAGTAAAATGCCAATACAAAGAAGAAGAGAATAGAAACGAAAAGATGCTCAAAAAGAAATTAGAATTTAATACAATAGAAAACTAAACCGCTCCGAACACGCTAAACTAAACAATGACACGTGGGCTCACGCAGGAGCAGGCGGTGTCACACCGGACCTTTAAACGGACTAGTGGGCGAGGGGAATCAGGGAACGAGGGAGCAGGGTATTGGCAAGGGGGCAGGACGGACAGGAGAGCTTACCGGCAATAGATATCTCGAAAACAACAAATGGGCACCAGCTACTTGTTCGGCGTAGCACCGTCGAGTGACCTCAGAAGGTCCTCGAATATTTACACAAACTCGAAATGGCATGGCTAGCAGGGGAAGTGGTGAGGGGGTCTCAGGGAGGAAGGTTCCCGAACGCGAAATGGCTACTTGATAAATTACCTCGGTGTGAACGCAAAAATGGGAAGGGAAGGGAGAGGGCACGGAGGTTTCCCAAAAAGGGCGCCGATTACTATAGAACGCACGCAATATACCACCACTGGCCGCACGCGGTTGGCGGAAGGCCAGACTAAAACTCAAAAAGATAAACTACGCAAAAAGGCCGGTCCACGTGGGGACGGCTCGCCAAATCCAAAAGGGGAAATCCACGATCCATTAAAACGCAAACGCAAAGGGGGGTAGGGAAAAAAGGGGGGAAATAGGGCAAACTCAATCACTCAATACTCACGCAACGATTCCGCAACACTCGATATAATCCAAATTCGCAATTATCCCACTCTCACTCGCAATTTCACAATCCGGAAAAGGCTCACTCTATCACTCTTAATCCCCTGGCTCGAAGTGGTGAAATTTCCGGTCGCTCTGGCCCTCGTGGGCCTCCAGGGCCTCGGTAATTGGCTGGGGCTGCTCAGCTGAGAGGGCTACGTGCTTCGGCATTGGTTGGCAGTTCCGGCATGGCAGGGCATTGGTCCGTTTCAAATTTGGTCGTCCGCCGGGCCTTCCAGGGCCTCGTGGTGGCTGCACGGCGCTGGCTTTGCCGGCGCGCATGCTAGCTGCGCGCGCCGGTCAATCGCACGGCAGGGCATTGGTCGGCTTCAAATCGGCTGTGTTGCCGGGCGTTCCAGGGCCTCGTGTCGGCGGCACGGCGCTGGCTCTGCCGGCACGCGTGCTGGCTGCGCGCGCCGGTCAAGATGGCGGCCTCCAGGCCTGTCAAATCCTCCCGGGCACGTCCGCGGTCTCAGAGGGAGAGGACTCCGCCGCTGTCACACGGGACGTTTTCTTGCCCGTGTGACGGGACTGCACCGGGGCTGCATATTGGTGGCGATGGTGGTGGCTGGGCGTCCATCCCACGGGCGACTCAGGGTGCTGTTCCTCCTGCCCATGCCATCCCTGCCTTCCGCTGCCTCGGCCACGTAGCCGTTCTCGCGGTCTTTCCAGGGATGCTTTCCTCGTGGCAGGTCCACGACGGTGTTCTCGATGCTGGTGTTGTTGGTAGGTCCTCTGAGCCGGTCCTCGAGCCAGTGCCCTACGGGGAAAGGGGAATGGTAGCAGGGAGGGAGGGGATCTTAACTCTAATTACAATAAACCTAAAACACTAAATAAACGCAATTACCAATACTTAACTCTAAGACGCTATACTCGAGGCCTATGGGACCTCGAGCCAGGAG